GACTGCGCCAGTGTTACGTACAGCGATTCAGGAATCCAAAAGCTGATACACTTTTATAATAAACAATAGTCAATTTATAATATAAATCAATTGTAGTTTTATTAAAACCAATAATAAGTAATATAGTCGTGGTGAATTGTAGTGTCGTGAATTGACTCGTTGTAGTAGCTGATAATCTCCATGTAAGTTGTGTGTAATGGCTGGTGCATAAGCGGCTCGTTCGGTCTTGGCGGCTCTGGTACATCTAATGTGTATTGGGGCCCTGGCCTCTATATATACGGAAGCGACGTCCTTTGAATTGAGCGGCGCGTGGCATGTAGGCGCCCTTGGTAAGTTGTAGTGGTTTGGAGCGTCCATTCTAGCTATGACCACTTTTAGGTGCGGTCGACGAGGCCGCCTTTCACATAGGTGATTCTTGTTATTATGGGCGTTTACATGAGTTGCGTAATCCCATTACACCATACAATATTTGTTTAACATGCTACAAACAATTAAAATTATAAATAAAATTACAATTCTCTACAATATATAATTATAATGTAACACGTTAATACTACATTCTCTTGTTTTACGGTATATATCCACGTGTTCTTAAATTCTAATTTATGGAATATACTTCAATATAATTCAAAATATAAATATTTACACATTTGCGTTTTTTCCTTTTGTTTGGTGAATAACGCCAATTCACAGTCAGTATTCGAATTTTTTAGAATGTACAGGTTGTATGATATAACAGATAAAGTAATTAAGTATTTTCTTACAAGTGTTTAATTGTTGTGGTGTAAAGGTCGTAAAGTATTCATTATATAGAATGGCTTATCGCGATATAATCATACGTGTTTTTTAAGTACGCGAACTGTTTGCCCTTAATTTTAATCGGCATCGAAATTATATTATACAAAATAAAATTCTGTTGGTTAACTAATGGTATTTTGATATTAAACATCAATAATTGATTTCGATACACAACACTGACCTCTGATAATTGATACAAATTAAAAGGTCCAATATTGTCTTTATCAATCGGTAATGATGTACCTTTAGGTAATGATAATTTAATTTCTTTCATGCTTTCAGGGCCGGCTTTAGATACAATCGACGTGTGCGACGGCACAGGGCGCCAATATCAAGGGGGCGCGCAAGAGGCGTTAAAATTAGAACACCCTCAAGCACTGACGGTAAAATTCTTGTACGGTTTGCAGACGATCGATGGTGTGGTGGCGGTACTAGGCAATTTCTAATCTTGTCGTCGCCGCTCGGGATCTATGTGTTAGTCGTAAATGATTATTAGTGTGAGTGGAGTTCAATGCGGGTACATATTTACTAACAACCCAGGTAGTCGTAAATTTTTATCGCAATAATAGTTTGTCGAATATTGTATCAGATATTATTATTTTTTCTTGTACAACAGTAACTACTAACTAATATTATTGTGACCGACTGAGCGATTAGATAAGCGGACCGACTCGATAACGATAACTTATTATGAATCGTATTCGCATGTACGTAAAATCATTTTTGAATTTCTTTGTTCTTTTCATTTTGACTGTTGAGGTGGACACTTGTCAGTTGCAGTCTACAATTAAAATTTACAATAGGTAAGCTTTAAAACTTAATTAAACGTAATATTTATTAGGTATTTAAAATTGTAAATGATTTTGCGTGGGATGTATTAGATGTATTATAGTTTTTTTGTTTTCTATTTTTCAATTCACTGAATCGTTATCGGCACTTATTGCAGTATCTACTTGCAAATATCGTATAATCATAATTGGTTGAATAATAAAGTTGTGGTTAAATGTAGGTACTCACGTTTATTTTATAATTTTGCCATTTTGGAATCAAAAAAAAAATATTTTTCTTATTGTGTTACAGTTTGTTATAATCATTATATTTTATAAAATGTTTACTATAGTTACGAATTATATACTATAATTACTAAATAATTATTAGAATTAGAATTACTACTACAATTATGAAAATGGTAATTTCTTGTACCTCAAGCTGTTTATAAAGTTTCACTAAAGGGCCAGTCATAATTTTTTTATATATTTATTTATATTTAATTATTTATACATATATATATATATTATAAATTGTGTTATGTTCATTTTTCATGATAATTTTCTAATAAATAAAATAATTTTCTTTAACAGTTTCGATTTATTGATAATCAAACATAAAATAAAAATGTCTGGATTAAAAAAAAAACCCTCTGGAGCAGAATATAAAAAAAGAAAAGCTGCCAAAGAAATCGAATTTGAACAAAATAAAAAGTCAATGAATCTTCAGAAGTATTTTAATAGCTCATTATCTGAAAGTAATGAATTTCATAGTTCACCATCCACCTCGGCTTCAATAGGATCTAATAGAGAAAATACCCAGATTGAATCGGATGAAATTTCCAACAATCAATGTGATTCTATCGCAATTACGAGTAATTTTGTTCTTAATGGCATTAATAAAACAATTATTCCTGACACTGCAAACAATGACATAAATAAAGAATCACATTTAGTTCAAAATTCTCGATAATAATATATATGATCATGATCCAGCTTTATGGCCTAAAGTTATAAGTTCTAAACTAAAAGATTTAATAATTTCGTATGGCCCTAGACAAGTTTTTTTAAAACAATATCCAAAGGATGATAAAGATCGACATTTTTCAAGTATTCATTATTCTCGTACACTCCTAAATAATGAACTTATTCCTCTGCGTTGGCTCACATATTCCGAAAGTTCTGATAGAGTATATTGTTTTTGTTGTTTATGTTTTCACCGAGGATAAAGATCTTCTCTTGCAAATACGGGCTTCAATGATTGGATTCATTTATCATCCACCTTAAAATCTCATGAAACCTGTAGTAATCATATTTTATCTTTTACTAAGTGGATAGAAACTGAATTAAGACTTAAAAGTGGGAAATCAATTGATCACTTGGAACAGTTACTAATTCAAAAAGAATCTGAGCGCTGGAATCAAGTTTTAACACGTTTGATGAACATTCCCTTATACTTGGCAGAAAATAACATAGCTTTCCGCGGAGTTTCTGATAAACTTTACAGTCCAAATAATGGGAAATATCTTGGTCTTATTCAATTGTTTGCCAAGTTTGATTCTATAATGCAAGATCATGTAACTCGAATTTTAAAAAATGAAATTAAGGACCATTATTGTGAAAAAAATATGTTAAATGAACTGATTCAAATAATGGCAGACAAAGTCACTGCTACAATCATATCCAAAGTCCACAAAGCTAAATATTATTCTATCGTAGCTGATTGCACTCCTGATGTATACCACATAGAGCAATTGTCTTTGACTATCAGATTTGTCGATTTATCTAAAGAAAATGTAGATATAAGTGAACATTTTGTTCAATTCACTCCTATAAACGATTCAACTGGAGAAGGGCTGACTGAAAGTATTTTAAATTTATTAAATATACATAATCTCAAACTGAAAAACTGCAGGGGACAAGGCTATGACAATGGCGCTAATATGAAGGGCAGACATTCTGGTGTCCAAAAGCTGATTATTAACAAAAACCCATTGGCATTTTATATGCCTTGTGGTTGTCACAGCCTCAATTTAGTATTATGTGACGCAGCAAAATCATCGACAAAATCCGTCACTCTATTTGGAGTATTAGGAAGACTATATAATCTTTTCTCCGCATCAGTAAAACGTTGGCAGCTCTTGGTGGACCATCTGAAAAATTTTACTTTAAAACGATTTAGTGATACTCATTGGGAAGTGAAAGTTAGTAGCGTTAAATCAGTAAGATATCAAATTGGTGATATGTACGATGCTCTAATTAGTCTTTCTGAAAAGGAAGAAAGACATGATCCTATTACTTCTCACGAAGCCTTCGCATTATCTAATCAGATAAAAGATTTTAGTTTTCTAGTTTCTTTAGTCGTCTGGTATGATATATTATTTCAAATTAATGTGGTCAGTAAATCTATGCAAAAATCAAATTTTGATGTCTGTAATTCAGTTAAGTTGATCGAAGGGTGTTTTAACTTTTTAAAAGATTACAAAGTTACTGGTTTTGAAAAACCTATTTCTACTGCTTCTGAATTAGCTTCCGAACTTGGTTCTGAGCCAGAATTTAAAGATTCTAAAAGAGTAAGATACAAAAAACGACAGTTCCAGTATGAGTGTAAAGACGAGCCTATAACTTCTCCAAAATAAAAATTTGAAGTTGAATTTTTTAATCCTTTATTAGACACTGCTCTTTCATCCATTAAAGAGAGATTTGATATGTTATTAAAACATACAGAAATTTGGGGATTTCTTTATAACTTCAGTAAAATATCAAGCTTTGAAAAGGATGAATTACTAAAATATTGCGCTGATCTCCAAATAGCTTTGACTGATGGGTTAGAAAGTGATATTGAAGCAATTTTTCTTTGCGACGAATTAATTAGCATATAATACTTCACCCCTCGATGTACTTAACTTAATTAAAAAAAATCAATTAGAGGATTTATACCCCATTATATGGATTGCATTAAGAATTTTGTTTACCATACCGGTCACAGTCGCAAGCGGAGAAAGAAGTTTCTCCAAACTTAAGTTATTAAAAACCTACCTAAGGTCAACTATTTTACAAGGCACATTGACATCCCTAGCTACACTAAGTATTGAAAATGTTATTGCTCAAAATTTAGACTTCTCAGAACTAATTAAAGTATTTGCTGATAAAAAAGCGAGAAAAGTGAACTTTCTTTAGATTTTTTGTATATATTTAGTACCCCTGTAACAAAGTTTTTTAATAATAATAAAGTTTGTTTTATATTGATAATTACTATACAATAATAAATAGTAATAAAACTAAGGAAGTCTATTTTTTTTTAATTTGACTAATCCCCTAATTTTCCTGTTTAAAAGAGGGCAAAGGGCGCCGAAATACTTCTTGCACTGGTTGCTGAAAAAGCTAGAGCCGGCCCTGCATGCTTTCATGTAATGTTTCGATCGATAAAACTCCCTAATGTATTTGCCCTGCTAAATTTATCATTTCTGATATATAATTAGTCTCAAATGCGTACGGACCAAGTAATACATTTAATAACAAATATGAATCTTGTATTCGTGTTTTATGATCTACCTCGATGGTTTGATTAATTACCGGATCTGATAATGGTGTTACTTTATATTCATCTTCAGTTTCTTCTACTAATTGTTGATTTAATGTATTTGGAATAACAAAATTATTTTCTGATATCATGTAAACGGTGTTTCGTTTGTTGCTTGTTTCAGCTCATAAGTTAGATGACTTTTGTGGCCATCTACGAATAAAATCACTGGTAATTTTATATTATTCGATAACAGAAATGGATGAAATATATTTATTTTAAATATATTTGCAACAAATTCATAAAAAGTTTCAGACTTCATCCAATCACTTTCCGAATGTCCTATGCCCCAATTAGAAGGTACTGAATTTACAATATCTTGAGGTATACTTTTATAGTTGAAACAACTACTGGATGACTCATAACTCCTGCAGCACTAAATATGAACATTACAGTCAAATTGTCTTTTGAATTTCCTACAGCAACTTCATAAACATCCTTAGAACCCTTGGGAGCTAATACAGTTTTAGTTTTTGGACATAAAGAAAACCCAGTTTCATCACCGTTAAATATTCTCGAGGGGTCATTTAAAATGTCACATAAGTTTTCTTCTTTCAAATACTGGTGAATATCATTAAACCATTTTCTGATGTCCTTTTCACTTATACAACTACTTGCTGCAGTAACATGCTCACTGGTTCTGGTAGATAATTTTGGATGACGGCTCATGAATGCTCTATACCAACCAATACCTACAGTAAAAAAATCTTATATAAAATAACCAAATGTTACTTTTATTGGTAAGTTCTAACCTAACCTATAAATATAATAACGTATATAGTAATATTATAAATTATAAAATATACCATAAACATCATAGTCAATCATAAAGTTAATTTATTGAAGTTACAATATATTCAAATCCATGATGATTAATTTTTTATAAATGGTTTTCAAATAACTAAAATTTTAATAATATAACTACTACCTATTCATAATTATCTTAAATAATATTAAATTGAAAACAAAATGGATAATTATTTGAGAAAGAACTTGTACGTTAATTCTTGTCTAAAAATTGTTTTAACTGGAGATCCTCTTTTCTCTGGGGAAATCCTTTTTTACAACATTCATGGATCCACTTTTCTAGTATCGTTTCTTCTTCATAAGTAGTTTTACATTCAGGATTTTTATAGGCATTTATACTAAAAAAAAAAAATTAAACATTAAGAAATAAACTAATTTACAATTTTAAATAATGTAATATTATTTAAAAACGGTTTTTAATTAATTAATATTCATTTAAATAGCTTAACTTTAATGAAATAATAATTAAATACCATTTTAATGGAAGTGTTAATAAATGAAATATTAATATTATTACAAAAATCAATTATTGGCACTCCATGTCAGTAACTACAATTTTGAATTTATAAAGATCAGTTATTGTCGTACCGTTTATAACAAAATATAATTTAAAAAAATGTATATCTAACTGTATTATAATATTAAAAAAGTTCTTAGAAACCAGAATATTATATCATTTGTAGTTGAATAAAATGGTTACAAACTAAATAAGAGCTTAATTGCTAAGCGTAGTTAACTACAAAAATGGATAATATCGTACCTGTTTTCAGAAATCCTCTGTAGTGCTCGAATCTGATGTAGTTGATAAATAACAAAAATTAAACTCGTTATCATCAATAACCGAAAGCAAAACAGTAACAGTATGGCCAGATAATAAAAAAAAAGATTATTCAATCGTCAAAATGTACATTAATTAAAAATAAAATAAACTTTTAGTGCCAATAACTATAGCAGTGCCAATAATAGTACACTTTACAGTATTCTATACTACTGTATTCTTTTTTTACTAACGATTCATTCTTAGGACTATAGTTAGTATTGCTCCTACGTTTTTTACAATCTCTCCTTAAATTACCGTAACCCTCACAATTGTAATACTTAGGTTTCGAAAAAGTAGTTGTATTAGTTTTGTCGAATTTTGGTTTTACATTTTCTAACGCTTGTTCCTCTCCTAACGCTTTAATCATTTCTTCAAGACTACTTAATTTCATTGCCCTTAACACCGTTCTAATTTGGAAATATAGCCCGTCTAAAAAAATATTTTGTGCCTGTGATGTCAATACTTTAGTAATAGATCTACTTTCTGTAATAGTCTTATCCTTAGTCATTTCATTACTAACCTATAAAGAGCCAGTTCTACCCTTGCTGCATAATCCTGAACCTTTTCAAATTTATTCTGAGTATTAGAATTTAGTTGTTTAGACAAATATGTCTCCGAGAAGTTGTTTCCAAAATTCGCTCTTAAAATTGTAATTAAATCTTTATAATTTGCTATAATTTTATGCTGAGTAATGCATAAAGCCTTTCCGGACAAATTGCATAACAACACTTCTAACACGTCATTAACAATCGTTTCCTCAATGTGCTTAAATACAAACTAGCATTTTTTTTCAAATAAATTTAAATCTTGGGATGGTAAACCCTCGAATTCTTGCAACATTCTAATTGCAATATCAATACTTAATTTACTCATTTTTATAAGTTCTATTTGTTCTATTAAAACTCCTAAGTGTGCTAAGTAATTATCCCTTTGTTCACAATCTGTGACTCTATCAGCTAAATTGAAAAACCACTCCAATTATGTATCTATTCCTGACATAAATGAAATATTATATTACCATAAAAATTGCATGCTAAACTCTTTGAACTTGAGTTAGTTGTTGGTTGAATTGGAGGTGATGTTGGTTGCAGTTGCCTTGTCTGTTGATTGCAGTTGAATTTATTGTTGGTTGCAGTTGAATTTATTGTTGACGTAGTTGAATTATATATTGATTGAAGTCGACTTGATTTTCTGATTTTTTTTTATATTGCTGACATAAATTGTACTTAATTGTACTTAATTGTTACTTGATTTCGTTGAATTCGGATTTTGAATGACGTTGTGTTGTTCTAATTCAATTTGTAGCTTAATACATTCGACACACCGCTGCCACCAAAATGTTCTAACGTCTCCGTTCCAGCACTCGAAATTGAATTAGAAATATAATAAAGATACACAAATTTATGTTTACTCAAAGTATTTTTAATTATAATAACAATACGTCCGTTCTAAACTAAAAGTACATACTCTTGTCATCTCTCGTATTCGACTCCTCGACTTTGTCTATGACTTTCCTATTTATACTAAGCGGAGTCACCTTGTTATGATGACGTCCGTACAAACTAAAGGCAAGCGCTATTTCGGGTATTATTTAATTTTTTATCGGCTTTATTCAAACAAATGTGCAAACTATTGAAAATTAATAAGATGCAAACAACAGCGTATTCACCGATGACAAATGGAACCCTGGAACGTAGTCACAAGACATTAAAAGAATATTTGCGAAACTTTAGTGATGAAAAAACGGAAAATTGGTGCGAAATGTTGAGTTATGCAATGTACATGTATAATACAACACCACATACAGCGCATAAATTTACACCTTATGAGTTAGTGTTTGGTATTCAGCCAGTTGTCCCTTCGAGTTTTTTGAAACCACCATCGACAGGATACAGTTATTGTGATTACGTAAATGATTTAAGGACACGAATGCAAGAAGCAAGACAGATGGCGAAGAAACATTTAATTGAAGCGAAAGTAAAATCAAAAACTAATTATGACAAACATATCAATCCAATTGAATTAGAAATAGGCGATAAAGTTCTGATGAAAAATATGAAGAAAAAAAATAAGTTAGAACCAAATTGGATAGGTCCGTATGAAATAGTAGAGGTACATGAACCCGTAAATGTATCAATCATGAAAAATAATAAAGTTGTACGCGTTCATATGAATCACTTACAATCATTTAAAGAAATAAACGATTAAATGTTATTAAAAAAAAATAAGTAAACAAATTATAAAATCTCTTATATTATAAAACGAGGTAAGTCCCCAGTTTTGTCCACGGGGATAGACGACTTTCGTGTCGTTTTTCCGGCTCGGCCAATCGCAACGTTCAGATTCTGCGGCGGGCAATAACCGCGTTATCACTTCTTTTCTTATCATTTTTGAAATTTTCGAAATTTACACTTTTTACACGATTTTGACCGTTTTCGAGCCTTTTCGCTCATATTTATATTTGATTCGCGTAGCTCGCGATCTCTCGAAGCCGCCGGTGTGCGGTTTATATCCGTTCGCCGTCCGTAGCCGTCGCAATGTCGATCGCAAAATACACTCCCGGACGGACTATTTTTCCGATTTCTTTCGTTTTCTCCGACAGTTTCGTCTTTTCGCACGTCTTTCGTGCCCGAATCGTGTAGTTGACGTCTTTCTAAAGCCGTATATATACGCTTTTCTTACGAAATCGGTCGGTTCGCTTCGCAATCGCGTTTAGAAATTACGACCGACCGTACGCGTATAATACATGTATATACGTGTATAATTTAATTTTTGCCTATTGATTTAATAATTATTAACGGAAAACGCTTTTCACAAGCTCCGTTAAATATACATATATGAGAGATGCGGGTATTACAAGCGAATTATATGCGATTACATCGATGAACATCGAATATATCGGCTTACGTCGCTCCGTAGACGCACGGCTTAAGTGTTGATGTTTTGACCGTATTTCACATCTCAAACTGTGTCCAAGTAGGTTAGGCGTTAGGTAGGAAACACGTAGGTCCCGAGTTCGAATCCGTCGTGCGTTCGCCGGGCGTCGAAACCGTCATTGCCATATGGTTTACACGGCCGCCCGAAACTCGACTTTTTTTGCATTTTTTTTTCACTATATTTTTCATATAAATTAAATAATAATATTATAATAATACAGAAACATATTTATCGTACATTATTATTATTTAAAGTCATTGTCATATTATATCACACAATAAATAGGTACATGTTATATTTGTTTTATTAGGAATTATTATAATTGTATATTTTTTAAAATTTCCATGATTGTTATATAAATATAGTTTGTATTTTATTTCGGATTGCCTACCTAGGTGGCTAACTTGAAAGTTAATCTTGATTTTGACTTGAGATGACTATGACTTGCTAGACACTCCAAAACGGTTTTCGACTTTACACTTTTTACATAAGAAAAGGCACCGGACATGCGAAGGCACATACCACTCAATGTGATATACCTACTACATGTAAGAGATAGGCGGATTGCACATTTTAGTTTCGTCTTAAACGGTGATGATTGACTTGATAGACACTTTAACATGCAGGTTTTTGCATTTTTATTTTAAATTAATATATATACACTATAGGTACATGTTTATATGTATTGTATTGGTTAATATAATAGTGTGTATCTAACTATCTACCTATATGTAAATTTTTTTTAGGAATTATAATATCACATTTCTCAGAATGTTCATTTTTATATTATATCACACAACAAATACATATCATATTTGTTTGTATGTATATTGTATATAGTTTGAATTTTTCGTAAATTATTTCGTAAGTTGTGTGATAGGGTTTTCACTTATAGCCACTTGACGTCGGGTCTGCAATCCACCGCAGGTGGATTGCCTACCTGATTTGCTGTAGAACATTGTCCACGATCCGACGAAGCCTACCTAAGTGGTTTACTTGAAAGTTAATAGATTTTAACTTGAGATGACTGACTTGCTAGAAACTCCAACACGGTTTTCGACTTTACACTTTTTACATAAGATAAGGCACCGGTCATGCTACGGCACATACCACTCAGAGTGTTGCCAGGTTTGGGGAAATTTCCTCAATCTGGGGATTTTCTATGTGACTGAGGAAAAAGTTGGGGAAAATAAAAATCTGGGGAAATTTGAGGAAAATTGAACAAACATTATTTATTTATTATAATTTTCAAAGTAATAAGTTTAATCATAAAAAAAATCATTTAAAACAACAACATTTTCCTAAATAATCTGATTATCTGATTTTAACTAGCCTATAATATTATATTTACATATATTTTAAGCTAATGATAAGATAAGCTGCTACTATCTCCGATGCTGCTATGGCTTTGTCAACATTATCATTATCCAAGGAACGCCGAACCCGAACGGTATATTATATTGTATAACCGTACACCGGTCACCGATAATTAAGTAAGTATTTACTATTTAGTATACTATTTTGTTTAATTAGGTATCTTTATTTTCGACTCTGTGTTATTAACCTGTATATATGTATTATTTAGAAGTAAATTGTAATTATGGACTCAGAAAGTAGTGATGACAGTGATACACCAAGCAAACGAGCAAAATTTGGCCAGAAAAAATCATATTCCCACACATTTTGCAATGATTGGTTAAATAAAAAACAATTTCGCACTTGGCTTACACCAAGCAAACATGGTGAACATTTTTACCATTGTAAATTATGTGGAGACGACAATAAAGGAGGTATTTCAGCTGTGAAAAAACACATGTCTTCCCAAAAGCATCAGCGTGTGGCCAAAGCTGCTCAAAACGTTCGGCCAATTAATGAAATGAATTCAGCATTTGCAAAAGCAGCCGTTATTGAAGAAAAGGTTAAAGTAGCTGAATTAAAGATATGTATGTTCATATCTGAACATAACATATCCTTCAACACCACTGATCACTTAGTTCAACTAATCAAATCTATAGGCACCGATCCTGAAGTAGTGAAAAAAATAACTTGTAATCGAACTAAAGCCACAGCCATAGTTAACAATGTTTTAGGGTCATCAGGGTTTGACACTATCATTGAAAGGATGAAGAATAATCATTTTTCATTGATTATAGACGAGTCCACTGACCATTCAAGTGTTAAGCATTTAGCCATGGTCGTGCGTATGTTGGATTATTCCAATAGTTACATGGTCAGAGATGAGTTTTTAAGCCTTCTTCAAATATCTGATGCAAGTGCACTTGGAGTACACAAATTAATTAAGAATTTTTTTGAAGAAAACTCAGTGCCATACAAAAACAATTTGATTGGATTTGCTGCAGATGGTGCTAGTGCTATGTTTTGGGATACATCATTCAGTCAAAACTTTATTAGAAAGTGAAATTCCAAATTTATACAGTATGAAATGTATCTGCCACTCCATTGCATTGGTTGCATCCTACGCTACAAAAAAAATCCCGGATGATATTGAAATATTGGTAAGAGAAATTTATACATATTTTCAATATAGTTTTAAAAGACAGACCATATTCAAAGAGTTTCAATCTTTTACCGATGCTAAGCCACATAAATTATTAAAACCATGCCAAACTAGATGGTTATCTTTACATTCAACTATAAAAAGAATATTGGAACAACTGGAACCATTAAAATTGTATTTCCAAGCAGAATATTTAATTGACCAAAAGGCTAAAAGTATTTTCGAAGGATTGAAGAATCCTCATTTTGAATTATATTTAAACTTTTTGGATTATTCTTTACCAATTTTAAATTCATTAAATTTATCATTCCAAAGTGAGAAACCTCAAATTCATTTATTATACTCAAAAATGTTTACGGCATATAAAACCATTTTAGAGTTTTATATTAAACCAGACTATTTAAATAACACGGATGTAGAGAAAATACAATATCGAAACCCTGCCTACTTTTTGGAAACATCAGATATTTATTTAGGGGGAAAATGTATGGCTTATATGTCTAACTCCAACAATTGTAAACTTTCAAATTCTGAAAAAAATATTTTCATAAATAATTGTTTGAATTTTTACATAGAATGTGCAAATCAGTTATTTAAAAGGTTTCCCTTTAATTCTAACAATGTAAAATGTCTTAAAGCGTTATCTTTTTTAAATCCACAAAATGTAAAATCTATTATATCTGTCGGACCAGCTGCTCAATATTTTGAAACTTCATTAGGTATAAATTTAAATGATATAGATCGAGAATGGCGCCAATTAAGAAATACAGATTTGAATTTTGATCTAGAGTTACTTGAATTTTGGAATGTTGTGGTACATTTGAATGATGGTAATGGTAATATGATGTTTCCTTCTTTGAGTAAATTCATTAACTTTTTAATTATACTACCTCATAGCAGTGCGTGTGTAGAAAGAATTTTTTCTTGCATTAATTTAAACAAAACTAAAGTACGCAATAGGCTGTCAACAGAATCGTTAATTGGACTTTTACACTCAAAAAATATATTAAATTCTCAACAAAAATATTGCTATGATCTAAAAGTTGATAAAACTATGATAAAAAAACATAACAGTTCCATGTACAGTTCTTAAAGTTTCTTAAGTTTTATTATATTATTTTAATCACACGTGTTAATACATTTTCAATTTGTATCTTGTTATTATATTATGTTTTTTATTATTAATACTATTACCAATGTAACTCAGTTAAAACAATATTTTTTTTATAAACAATTGTTTGTTAAGTTTATAAATTTTGTTAATGTTATATCTTATAAAGGGTAATTTATTTGATGTACTAGTTTATTATAATATATTTCAGATTATGTTTACACATTGTAGACATATTATTATAATTCATTTGTAAGACTGCTAAAAAGTTGTATTATAATTTTATTTTAATTACATGTGTCAATACATTTTCAATTTTTATCTTGTTATTATATTAAGTTTTTTATTATTAATACTATTACCAATGTATTATGTAACTCAGTTAAAACAATATTTTTTTATAAACAATTGTTTGTTAAGTTTATAAATGTTGTTAATGTTATATCTTATAAAGGATAATTTGTTTCAATTGCAATTACAGTTAATAATAAATTTTCAATTCTTATCTTGTTATTATATTATGTTTTTTTATTATTAATACTGTTATCAATCGGCAGACTTTATTTTGTGTTATAATTATCAATTCTGCTGGTTGGCGTTGGCGGTTAGTCGGTACTCGGTACTCGGTAGTCATATTCTGAACTAAAAAGTAAAAAGTAAAAACCATGACAAACTGACAAATATTTTGTGAAGGCACTGTCTATTCTGAACAGCACTAGTCTTATCTAGTATCTCAGCCCTCAGGATTATCATAGATTGCATACCAACATGCTTCGTAAATAACACAAATATCCCGAAAATGTTTTTTCCTCGTACTCTGTAGAACTGGTACTCTCAATTATCATAATTTAATGATCTATCAATGGGATTAACTGCACGAAGGCGAAGACCGAGCGAAGCGAGGTCTGAGTCTAAAAAATAAAAATCTGGGGAAATTTCAAGTATAATCGAAACTTTTTGATGATATTATCGATATTTTATTATTGATATTATTATGTCCACTCTATGTGCAGGTATACTCTATATCGGTGATCTTGGAGACAGTGGCGTGCCCATGGGGGGGAGGTTAGGGGTTATATCCTCCCCCATTAGCTTTTTTTTGTTGACTTCAACTTATTAGATATTACCATAGACATATAAAAATGTTTATCATATATTATATAATTGGATATGGATATTACTTTTAAAATTATCAGTAATAAGTTATTGCTTATAAATTATTGCCCATTGGCTAATTTAAACATTCACTATACGGACGGGTGGTTAAATTTTCGTTTGGAATAATCAAGTTGTTTTTAACCCTTTCACTGCCGCCGACGTACTATTACGTCGAAACACATTACACCACCCACTGCCGCCGACGTAATAGTACGTTCTAATCAATTAAAATATTTTGGAAAACTTTATCAGTGCGGGAAAAAGTTCATTATCTAGATAAAAAAATAACGAATTTAATGATACCAAAATCTCGTTTCTACCTTCATTTCTCTGGTTGTTGTAGTTAATTTAAATTTGTATTGCAAGTAGTGCATCCCAAAATGTGGTAAAATATTATTACGCGCACGTGTCTTGCTTTATCAACAGTCACACATCAGTATCTTTTTAGATTCCATGGCAATATTATAAATAATTCTCGGTCGTTCTATTTATACTTTTTTGTATATTGTTTATATTTTATTCAATATCAATATGAATTATGTTCGTACAAAGTTCGTGCACAAGTATTGCTATAATAGTTTTTTATTTGACAATATAATGCTTTCCGACGCTCAAATTGCAGAAAGTCTAGATGAAATCTTACAAGATATAGATTCTGATGATGATTTTCTTGATTATATAAATTTTGACGACGCTGTTGAACAAGAACTTGAAGGTAATTTATTTGTTTTACATGATAATTTCTTACTCAAACAACAATAGGTTTCACCTAAAAGTTTATATATTAATTATTTATTAGATTTAGAACCAAAACATCCGTCTGATGTTCCTCAATTTGTACCTACGGCAAGCAAGAAAAAAAATGAACCGTGTATACAAAATTTGATTTTAAAAAAACGTGGAAACTTTGTTCCAAAAATCCACGATTTTGATCCTTCTAAGGTAATATAACTATTTATGCATACGATTTTGTACTACCTATTAATTTTACTCTTAGAGTGGTGTAAACAAAGCAGAATTTGGACTATCAGATCAGTCAAGCATTTTAGATTTTTTTGAGGCATTTGTTACCCCAAGCTTATTGGGGAAGGTTGCATTTGAGACAAATCGCTACTGCCAGCAATTTGACAACGTTACACCTGGTTCTAGGTAAATATTTAAAAAATATGACTGGTTCTAGGTAAATATTTAAAAAATATGACTGCTTATATAATATTATACAGACAAAATTGTTCAAAGGATGTTATTGAGTTATTATAAACAAAAATTGCAAATTAATTACATTACAAATTTGTGTTTGGACTATAAATTAGAAATTTTACATTTTATTTTGATACACTTATATTATGTAAATGTAACAAATTATGTGTAGAAAGAGATATTATACTTTTATAAAATATCTTCTTTATTATAATAAGTTACACCTACATTTTACAAGTTATTATAAATTTATTTTTATTTTTTTAGAGTCAATCAATGGGTAGATGTAGATAGTGAAGAGTTGTTTGTGTTCTTAGCAATAACGATGCTTATGGCCAGGAACAAAAAATTAGAAATACAAGACTACTGGTCCATGACCCCTTATCTCATCAACCAATATTTGGCAAATACATGAGTCGCAACAGTTATCAAATTATATTGCGAATGCTTCATTTTAGCCAGAATGAAGATCAAGTACCAGGGGACAGACTTGCAAAAGTGCGTATGCCTTTGAAAGAAATAACCAACAATTTCAAAGAAGCAATGGTTCCTTTTGAAAATTTAGCTATTGATAAAAGTTTAGTGCTTTGGAAAGGAAGATTATCGTTCAAACAATTTATTAAAACCAAACGTCACCGTTTTGGCATTAAAATATTTGTGTTGTGTGATGTTGAAACCGACTTTATACTTGACATCGTTATATATACTGGGAGTACCACTGAGTATACAAAAACTGACACTAGTCTTGGAATTTCTGTTGCTGTTGTGAACACACTTATCAAACCATATTTGAATAGAGGCCATAAATTATTCATAGATAATTGGTATTCATCACCATCCTTGGCTAACTATCTTCATAAGAGAAAAACTAATGTCACAGGGACAGTTCGAAAAAATCGAAAAGGTATGCCGACCCTATTAGCCAAATTAAAAGTTGGACAAACTGAAAGCCAACATACAAAGACTATATTAGTAGTAAAATGGAAAGATCGTAGGGATGTATTTGTGCTCACTACTCAGTTTGAAGACAAAATGGTACATATTGGAAAAAATGATCATCAAGGTAATGCAATTTTGAAACCAGTAGCAGTAATGCATTATAATGAAAGTATGGGGCCAATCGACAAAACGGACATGCTCTTGAGTTCAGTTGAATGTGTGAGAAGAACAATCAAGTGGTATAAAAAATTATTTTTTCACTTGATTGATCTTTCACTTTTGAACGCATACTCAGCTTACAAAACGTGTACTGGACTCAAAACTAGCCTTGCAGACTTCCAGTACCAGTTGATACGTGAAATATTCACTAAGTATGCAACACAAAAGCAAAATATATGTCGCCGTTCAAACACGTTATGTTTACCAGAGCGTTTACAAGGACGTCACTTCCCTTCAATAGTACCACCTACATCAAAAAAATTAAAACCACAAAGACGATGTTTAGTATGCCAGAACAAATTCAATAAAAGAAAAGACACAACATACATGTGTGTAAAGTGTGATGTAGGGTTGTGTCCAGTCCCGTGTTTTGAAATTTACCACACACAGGAAAAATATTTTTTACTACCTAAATTATAATTTTTTTTTTTTTTTTACTATTTTAATAATTATAAATACAATATAAAAGCATAATATATATTTTATATTATACAAAAGTGTATAACATAACATAATAAATATTAATTGTTTGAATATGGTCTTTTATGTTGATTTCATTTCTAATAGCCGGTAATTACCTCATTTTGGGAAACCATGGCATACATTTCTTGAAAGTTGAATTACTAAGTCAATAATGATTTTTGAGTTTTTTGAACTTTATAGGTTGGTTTGTTACATCTTTCAAAATATTAAAAGTATGAAAAAAAAAAAAAAAAAAAGTCAAATTTATGTGGTAGGGACATGTTACAGAGTACAAATCGTCTGGCAGTGAATTATTTTTCTTTTTTATATTAATTATTTTAATAAAGGTTATAAATGTTTTTAGTTTAATGTTGTCATTTTATTTAAACAATAGTGTATAGTGTGTGGCTATTTAAATTAATTCTAATTGTAGAACGATACTCAATGTGCATGAATGTACATATGTTTGGCAATTTTTGTGTTTGGGTAATCATGATTAATTTAAATGTACTTTTACTAAAAAAATGTATAACATATTAACATATATCCCCCCCATTGAAATTTCCTGGGCACGCCACTGCTTGGAGATCGTATCCAGCCTATCCATTTACAACGTTTGTGACGGATTGCTAGACGCTCAAACTTTTAACATTCCCGCCAAAGCGTCTAGCCTTATCTCCAATCCATATCACTAATCCTTATCACAAATCCTAAACTTTCGTCTTACAACCTTTGCGACTTTTATAATTCATTGTCTACAAAATAGGTAGGTACCTACTCCCAGCGAGTCCGACGGGCCCCAGACTAGTTACACTTAGAGCTAGTAGATAAATAAATATATAAACAATTTAGAAATTAGAATATGTATAATATACGTCGAAATCAAAGCATTAATCTAGTTATACATTTTTTTTTGTAGGGTTATCATAGGTCTGTCTGTTTTACACACACCAACACACGGAACACAACATGCACAATACAATATTACACACGTGAGCAACCACTCGGTACTTTATTTTGAAAATAAAGGATCCGTCAGGATCATAAACACACAATGGACACTTTTGACCAGTCTTGGGTAAAATACTTTTTAAATTATTTGGAATAAATACTCGAATACTCAGGAAAAATAGTATTCCGAATATGTATTCGAATACATCATAAAAATAGTATTCTGAATAAAGTATTTAGAATACTATAAAAATATTCCAAATACTTTTAAAATATTTTTTTTTTAGATATTAATAAAATAATAACTGCTTTGGGGGAACTATAGCCAATGCTTAAATATATAATATATTGTTTGTAAATTAAAATTATAATATACCTAACTATGACTATTTATGATTTACAATATTATATTATAATATTTATTAATAATTATCTGCATCATTTAAGTCTTTAATAACCCATAGTCAAGAAACACGCAGCCCTTTATCAGACCATTGTACTCTTTTAATAAAATCAATTGCAACTACCTACATAAATTTAAAAATTAATTACATTGTAAAAAAACATAATGAAACACCATCCCTTAGACAATGGTACAATAAACTTACCCTGTTTAGAGGTCAATGAATTTAAATGTTTTATAGTTGTTATCATTTATATTAAAGTAATACATTAAAAAAAAATTGTTTGTTGTAGTTTTAAATTTTGATATGTATGTTAAGTATTAAATATAAATAACTAATTGGCTGAAGTATAATATAAATATTGTTGTATTTCAATTAAAGGTAAAGAATCGTAATAAATCAAAAAATCTGATGACGTTCAACAGATGACAGATGACATATGTCTTATTTCTACGCTGTTAATTAACAATATTTGGTAAACAAAAGTATTTAAAAAAAAAATATGCTTGGACAATTGTGTGAGTATGGATATTCCAAGTCAAGTATGTATTTATTAGTAAGTAAGGTATTTTCTTTTTTAGACCTAGAGTTTAAACTTGTACTTTTGTTTATAATTTCATAACTTTTCACTACATTTCAGATATAAATAACAGTTAATTTTGTTTAATCTTCATTTATTTTAGGTTCTGCCATAATTAGTTTAGATTTATGTATTGTAATAAGCTTTTTGAAAATATTTGTACCCGATTTAGATCATTCTTCTTAAAATAACACTGATTGTATTTTGCATATTTTGCATGATTCCAAGTGTTTGACAGAAACCGATCAGAGAATATAGATTGAATATATAGAATGTTAAATGGCAAAGAACTTGGTGAAGACGACAAAATACTTTTTTATACCTTTTTTAATACTTATTTTTTAGGTATAGATCTAATTTAATGGATACCCTTTTTTAAAAATTTTTTTTTTTTTTGAAAATTTCGTGTTTTTCATGCTAAAATCAAAAGTGTTTAAAAATATTTGTGGAAACTTACTGTTCAAAAGTTATGGCAATTCAAAATTGTCGATAATACAAAATATGCTAAATAACTAATTTTCACCTGATGTCCGGGCTAACGAGTGACCATGCTGGCAGTAAGTGTACTTAGAAAACAATATTGATGAAAAAAAGGGTGTCCGGTAAAATAGATTTGTTCCATTTTTTACATGATTTATTATGTTTGTAACTATTAATTAATATTTAATATCATCGAAGACTCCCTTCTTGACAAAAAAAAGTGAAAAAATACATCTAAGAAACGTTAGGTATACTTAAAATTGTGTTACATTATATAATATGAATTAAGTTTAAATTTAAAATAAATAATGACATTTTTTTTATTATTATTATTGTTATTTTATTATTTGTGAAAACCAAAATTGTCAATTTATATTTGATTACATACATTATTACATGGTTCATCTACTCATTAAACCCTAAGATTGTTATGAGTAGGGTTCAAGCAGAACAAAATATAAATATTAACTAGCATGAGTATGCACTGAAAATTTAAATGTTTTCTTATACTATCCAAATTAGACAGACAATTATGATTAAAAGTATATTTGGTAGCCTATTACTAGGGTATAGGCCAGTGGTGGCTACGGGGGGAGGAGCGTTTTCCCTTCCCATTGGGCTGTCTTTTTAACGTTATCTTTTATTATTATATTAGGCTTAACCAAAAGGTTATTCAATTTTTGAAAATTCACTCCCTTGGGTGATCCGCTAGTGGTATAGGTCTTAGTTTGAATAATAAAAATTTTAAATTCGAATTCGAATTCTTAAAACCTTTAATGTATTAATATGTATACTAAATGCGCTTCCCCAAAAAGGTAACTCATTACTTAAAATGGATCTAACCAAACAAACAAAATTTATAACTTATAACTAATTTTGTCAACAAAATATTAAGTATATTTTCAGTGTTACCCGGACAATACATGAACAATATGTTACATGTTTGATATGGCTAACCTGTAAAAGGGAGTCTAACTGCGCTTCAACTATTTTATTGAACGGCCTCTCTATATTACTCTATGGTTGGGTAGCCTACGCGAATGGAACCGCAGTGTTGCCAGATGGTACGATCCTAGTGGGGACATACGATAATATTGCTCCCTGTACGATCCCCCACCAATGTACGATAATTTTGAAGACGCGGTACGATCATCCCTCTTTCCAAACCTGGCAACACTGATGGAACGCCTCACAGCGAGGTAACGGCATATTTTTTCGTGCGTGCAGCCGGCTCCATCAATTTATAAGACGTTATCACGTCAATAAACTAGGGTTCCAAATGCCTCTAAAATTCTGACATACCGTGTGTTCCTCATTAAACTTGATGGTTAATCAGATTAGCAATCCGATGTTTTTCGATGTTCCTTGAACAATCTTGAAAATCAGATGGACAATCTGATTGCTCTTCGATGCATCGAGAGCAAACCTACTAAATAAGGTAGTGCGCTAGGCGATGACATGATAAGGTTTATCATCTAATATTAAATTATCAATTTAATAACTGATGATAAATATATAAATAATATAATTATATTAATAATTATCAATTAATTTGTATTTTATTTTTTTCAATTGTTCAAAAATTAAACCAATACCTAACATTTTGTAGTTAATAAGTACAATATTTATGGTTACTTGTAGTAAGTTAGAAACAAGTAGAAAATCAAGTTATGTCGAATGAATGTTTTAGCCATATTTTTATAAGAATTTCAATTTTGTGTAGTGTATGATTGACAGTTTAAAATATGAGGATAAATAGGATTCAAAAAGTCTGTAAGGTTTGTTGACTATACCTATGAATTGTAGGGTACTTAATAGTTTGTCATGTGAGATGCTGTCAAATGCTTTACTCAGGTCCATGAATATTCCTAAATATTTGTTTTATTTGTTCTAAGTTGGTATATAAGTCTTTAGAGAGTTGTGCTAGTGCATGTTCAGTACCTAAGTTTTCTCTAAACCATATTGAGATTTAGGTAAAATAAGGTTCTCTTCTAGGTATGTTAAAAGTCTTTTTTTACGATTCTTTAGGTAGCACCATTTCAATACACGGAGTCGATAAATTCTTGGTAATTTTTAATAGATGTAAAATAAATTGTTACTTTATTATTAATTATTATTTATTATAACACTTATAACTAATTATATAAAATCTGTAAGGCAAAAAATAATATAAATTTATTACTCAGGTAAAACTCTTAACGAACTAAAATCCTGAGTACACTACTGTCTGATATAGATTCTTTAATAATATGTTTTATAATGTTTATAGTAATTCCGCACTTACCCAGGGCTGAGTGTCCTTTCATATTATTAATGGTATAATTAATTTCTTCATTGATCAACACTTTATTTTAAATAAGGTTTAGAGCAAATCAAGATCGTGCATCTCAAAGTGGTGAAGGAGCAATATCCTGGGAATATTTGGGAATCATGAAAAATCACTTTGGCCACAAAGACTCCGTCTCACCCAAAAATAAGGAATTATTTGAATCAAATATCACGGATAAACCAGGAACTTCAACACAAAGTATAGTTTATAACTC